GGTGCCAAACCCCTGCTCCCAAAAACTTATGAGATTTAGCACGGTTATTATTGCCACTATTTTTGTTAATCATTCTTATTCTGATTACTGCCATTGCTGCCACTCTTATTACTCCCGGTAGTACCCTAAACCCTAAAACCTTAACCCTAAACCCTAAACCCTAAAACCTTAGCCCTAAACCCTAAACCCTAAACCCTAAACCCTAAAACCTTAGCCCTGAACCCTAAACCCTAAACCCTAAACCTTAAAACCTAAACCCTAAGCCCTAAACCCTAATCCCTAAACCCTTTGGTAGTATTAGTACTGGAGCAGCCTGCAGGCAGGGGCCACTGGCCTCGCTGGTCCGCCAAGGAGCTGACTTTGCCGCAGGGCACAGAGTCTGGGATATACTGGAGGTTTATATAGGGGTTCTACAGGGGTTATATAGGGGTTTCTATAGGGGTTATAGGGGTTCTATAAGGGTTCTACAGGGGGTATATAGGGGCTATATAGGGGTTCTATAGGGGTTTCTATAGGGGTCATAGGGGTTCTATAAGGGTTCTATAGGGGTTTGGGGTATTTGAACTCAGTTGCCTTAGCATTGGGTGTTTGCAAAAAGCAAGGGGCCACCAGTATAATGCAACATCAGTATGTTATAGTCTAGTTCTAGTTGTCGGGTACGTACCATAATATGAATACATGAATATATGTATTATGTATGTAGGGGCCTGTCGGCACAGGCCGGCCTGGCCGCCTGGCACCCTGCACACATCCAAACCGTCCGAAATCCTCAACCAAACAGTGACAGCATAGGTCTAAGCAGGTGATACTATAGTTACACAGGGAATATGGAACCATAATATTGGCAATTCTTTAGGCCCCTATATTAAGCCTAAACCCTTGCATGAGTTTGATGGTTTCCAAGGGTTGAAGACACCCAAATCCTCAACTGATCTCAACCGCCTCTCAAAATGGACCTCCCCGTTGTGCTGATGATGCTTTTGTTATCCCGTTGTCCTCTATTGAACCCAAAATGGGGCCCCAATTGTGCTGATGATGCTTCTGTCGGCGCGCGGCTTCACAGATAAGCAGCAAGAACTTCCCATGTGCATTAGTTCAGAACAATGTACAATAATTTAGTGGTCAAGAGGGTTCGAAAAGAGCTCGGTCTCTGTGCAACAATGCGGTGCAAACCAAGCAGAATGCGCAGTGTTGCCAGTGTTTGATTGCGTAACGCCCGCAGACCCATCATGCAGCAAGGGAACAGCCAAGGGTACACTTTTTTGCTAAAAACCTGCTGGCAGCACATATTTTGAGCGTTCTGCCGAGGTTTACAGGACCTTTGAGGTCCCAGAGGTCCCCAAAATGCTGCCAAGAGTCCAGCATCATGAGCATCGTTGGACCTCCATTTCTTTCCTGATACCGCACATATAGGATTTGTTTTCTCCAGTCGGAGCAGATGCGTTCTGAGTCCTGCCTTCCCTCGGCTACAAGACGCCCGGAGGGGTTGCCAGAAAGCTAGCGGAGCCAAAGTGTGCCCTTCTGAAATGGTATCTTCGACTTTTCGTTGGACATGGTCAACTCAGTGTATCTCTCGCGCTAGCGGACGCCCGATGGTGGGGGGAGATGCCAGGGCGGGGTCCCTCGTAAAGGGCACCAGAGTTGGGGGCTAGGGGACCAGTCAAACGAAAACGCTGCAGACTTGAGCCATACAAAGAGCGAAGCACTGTGTTTTTTAGAGGGTTGGCCAGGTGTTGCGGGACACTGATAACGAGCTGGGTGGCCGGGGTGGGGCCTGGGACTCGGCTCGCATCAGTCAGCGGCGTTGAGGTGCAGGGGAGGTGCCAGGTCGATGGGGAGTCCAGGGTTTCACCATGGACTGAAGGGTGTGCCAACAGGGAGTCGTATCGGTTAGTTGGGTGACTCTGAAGGTGCGGGTGCTATCCTGTCCAGTGGAGTGGGGGTGCAGCGGAGGTGCTGGTAAGGGTGGCCACGTGTTTGAAAATGCTGGACCTGCTCATTGCAGAAGAACAAAACAGGGGACGCGTCCAGAGCCGCTAGGGAAAAAAGGTCGTTGCGAACCAGAGATCCAGGGGGGGGTGCTGCCGGCCAGCAAACTGCGGGTGCTGCGATGGAGCAAGTTTGCTTGCTGGAAGCCGAAAACAATTGACGCATCCAGAGCTGCTGGGAGGCTAAGTGGTGCCCAAAGCTAGCGCAATCCACCTAGGAAGAGGGGGAAGAATCTCCCCAGCGCCCCGCTGGGGTCGGCGGACAAATAGTAAGCACTTTGTTTCCTTGTTAAAGTCACTCAATCTTCAAGTTAGTTTCCTTTAATCATAATGATAGGTACTATAGTTATATGTATATATATATATTTGTATCTGTGGTAACCAGATTTGTTTCCTGGTTGAACTTAATCTTAGTTCTTCAGAAGCAGCCAAGGAGTGCAAGTTCTTCATCCGAAGTCACCGGACCAGAAAACATGAAGGTTTTGGGATATGGGACTTAGGTTTCGTTTGCAGTTCGAGAGTATGTAGGGTTTGGGGTTAAGGGTTGAGTTTATCGTTCAAGGTTTTGGGGTTTGGGGTCTAGAGATGGGGGGCCTAAGTTTCAGGGTTCAATTGAGAAAATCTTGTACGTAGGAAGGTGGTTCAAGATTTCCTTGATCCATAGTCGGATCTAGGGCTCTTGAAAATGCCTTTGAGTCTGCAAGAGGAACCCCCATCACGCTCTGAGAAACTGCTACAAGTCCCGGCGCTCACAGACCCCTTGTCTTGATAAAGCCCAATAGCAGTGGTAGTGTTGTGAATGTGTGCACTTGCACATGGTAGTATAGGGGATGAGTGCTAGGTACTAGCCACGGCACAGAGCATAATGTTCTGATTCCTTTCTGTTATTGACGACCGTAGCTCTCGAATGTGTACTTTCCTGCTTTTTTGCGCGCATGACTTTCCAGTGGTATTGTCACCAATTTTCTTCTGTTGTTGCTAGGTTCTTGTGCCGCTGTTACCGTTTCATCAGCATCCTTGACATGGTTGTACTTTGCCAATTGAAAAGTGAAAGCATTACTATTGCTTCGTTTACATCAGCAACCATTGCCTAGACTAGAACAGTATAGAATTTTGAGTACCTTTACTCCTATTGCTGCTGACATGATTGTGCCCGATCACGTAAGTAATGTTACGACGCCGGCCGCCGCCATCCCAGCCCTAAATCCTGCAGTCGCCCGAGGACAAAACGGGCATGTAGAGTGGGAAGGCATCAAGGGCAATCGTAGCTGGCCGCCGGTGCCCGCGGCATCGAAGGTGTCAATGATGCCTGTCTGACAGTGAGGGGATGTCTGTGCAGGGCTTAAAGGCAAAAAGTGCTAGACATGGGTACACGGGCCAGCTACAGGGATCATCAGGTTTCCTGGGCATAATTCGATTTCTTGAAGCCTGGTAGAATGCAATCCATACAGGGTTTCGCACTGATTTCCAATCTTTGGCAATCGTCTAGCTTCTTGAGTACTCCTTGGAGGTGAACCCTGCCATATCATGTCACGACCTCCGAACCCGGAGCCCCGCCCCCAATGCGAGGTTTGCAGAGCACCTACCCTAGATTGATCACTGGGAAGCAAGTGTTGTTCAGGAAGTTTGGCGTGCCTGCAATCGAATACGAAGCGCCAGCACCAGCGCCGTCTCCACAGCTCCAAACGAATTTGAATCTGGCAGCAACAAAGGCTGCTGGATTATGTGCAATAAGATCGTTATTGAAAGAAGCCTGCTTTTTGTCAGAGAAGTTTCAGCATGGTTTGTCTGCCCTGCCAGGCTCCACTGTCGCGGCCACGGAGCAGAGCACGGAGCAGAGCAAGGAGCAGAGGATATAATTCAGCCCACTCCTGTCGTCGTAGCTCGAAGACACCCTTGCGGTCAAAATTCATTCTCGACATGCACGAGGGGCTTCTCAATCTGAAGCTCTTGTCACCGCTTTTCCTGGGATGATTGTACTTGTTCTTTACTTAGATTTAGACGTACTAGCAATACCGACAACAAAGAAGTTGTAGACATTTGACTGTCAGTCTTGCATTCTTCATGTCTGAGGTATGAGAAGAAGATCGATGAGCGCTTCGAAATGGATGTTAAGGCCAACTAGAAGGAATTGTGGTAGTCCTCGCAGTAAGCAAAGTGGAACTGTGGTACCCAAATGGAAAATCCCGGATATCTGATTTCTTCCCCTCTATCCCTCTCCAGAATCCCCATATGAGCCATAGTCTAAACTCCTTAAAGGGGTTATATAGGGGATTATATAGGGGACTACTATAGGGCTCATTAAGGGGATACTCGGAGTTTAGACAATGGCTCATATAGAGGACCAAGTATCATCCAGCTTCCTGTCACTCAAACAGTCAAGAGGCCAAGTTGGGCGAAGGTGCCTTCGGCTTGGTGACCAAAGCCACGGACCGCGCGACGGGTGCTGTGAGGGCGGTAAAGTCTGTCCTGAAGTTGAGGGTGAAAAAGCCTGAGGCATGGGGTTGACAAATTAATATTTGATAACAGGAAGAGATGTTCTAATGTTGTAGAAGCTTCTTGAAGTAGAGAAGTTGACCGTTGAAAGCGATGCAGTGTCCCAAATAGTGGTTTCCAAAGTGAGACGGGAAGAATATGGGCATCCTGTGCGATCATGTAGGGGTCTTGTTTGGTTTGCATTCTGGCAGTTTGATGTTTTGAAGCAATCTGGAGTCTTGACAGTCTACATATGCAACCCGCAGAGATTCCCGATAATCATCTCTACCCTTTCACAATCTGTTTAAAACTTACCTCGACTTCAGCCATCAGGCCCTTAAGACGGAGATCGACCTGACCAAAGACGCTGTGCCAACCTATGGAAGAGGCTTTTGTTTTATGCAGAATAACCGCAACAGGTTCGGAACCAATGTGTGCAGCTTTCATATGATCCCCTAAGCCCCAAGCTAGTAGTTCCTAGACCAAACTCAACCCAAAACCCTTTGGGACTGGCTGCTAGACCCAGTGGTGAAGGACATGGATCACCCCAACATCGTCCGGCTCTATGGCGTCTATGAGGACCAGAGACACCTTTACCTGGTGATGGAGCTCTGTCAGGCTCGTAGGGGTCCTCGTAGAAGACATCAGCGCGTTTTGCTATATGCGGCAGCCTTGCATTGCTCGCACGCCTCATTCTTTAGGCGGGTTACATATGCATATATATATATATGTTGATACAATATTTCTGGTTTTGTTCAAGGTCATTGCAAGATGTTGCACACACCATGTTCCCCAGAGATTTCATTAGCTTCCATTTGTTTGCCTCTTCTCGGCGCAGATGGGGGCAATTCTGCGGAGTACATTTTTTTTGAGCTCGTGAGTCCTCAGGTTTGCCCTTGCTGTGTTCCTCCTGCATCACACGCCTTCCTCACAGCCCATGGCTGTTCGGAATCCCCTGGAAAACATTGTGCAGCGCTTGGGTGAGCTTGCTGCAGGCATGGCCCATCTGCAACTGCAAGGGCAACAGGAGCAGAGGGCCGGAGAAAAGTTGTTTCAGGCGGTCCAAAGTTTGGAAACAAGTGTCAGTAGCCACCAATCCTTGCTAACAGGGGAAGGTCCCTCCCTTTTGGCGACTGCGGACCTAGTTGCCCGCTCACATGAGTGAACCACTCAGCTCACACGCCGTGGAGACGAGTCGATCGATCGTGCTGCTATGCTTCCAGGGTCCCAGAGGCCCTCCAGAAAACTTGGTGCCAGCCATGGGTGCGCTCCGCCTTCACTTTGGCTCACAGTACCACAGCAGCTCGCAGCAATCTGGCACTCGACCGGGACCAGTGTCTTTTGCTCAAATGCCAGTATCCGCGCAACCCGGTGCGCAATCATGCAGGCGACAGGATCAAAGAAGTGGAGCATGCCAATTATTTGGAAGTCACGTTGGCGTGAAAAGGAGCCACTTGAAAAAATGCGACGAAGCGGCTCAACAATGCGCGCAAACACTTCAAGACATTCCACCATTTCTGGCGGCACACTGGTCTCCCCGTTCACTGGACTCTGTGTCTTTGTACCCGTCTCGTTCAGGGGATGGAGTCAGGGCCACTCACACAGGCGGACCTTCACAGGCTTGAGGGTTTTTCCCAAGGCGCTCGGAAAGATGCACCGCATTCCGGCGAGCTTCCATACGAACGAAGGTCCTTGACCCCAGCCAGCCCACCACTGCCGACCTACCACTCAGGAAGCAAACCACGGACACTACATTCACAGGGCACGCTTCAGGCTGTTTGGCCACATTTAGCACTGGCTAGGTGGAAAGGGACAGTTGTTCCACAGAGCCGTTCGATTGTTGGGGAGGAGAGGTAAGGGGAGGACTTAGAAGGGGTCGGCCCAGAATACGCTGGGCGGAGCAATGTACTACGTTGGCGCGGCGTTGGCGCCAAAGATCTCCCAAACCCGCTAACCAACCTAAGACTCCGCAATGCCCTTGAGCATGGTTACAGCTTCACAGGCTGGCTGTAGGGGAGTGCCAACGCGCAGAAGTAGTTTAAGTAGGCTTGTTACATCTCATACTCGCAGTGAGTAACGCAAGGTGAGTGTAAGAGAGCTTGAAGTGCAGATGCGTAAGGACTCCCGAAAAATGAGTTGCTTTAGGAATCGATTGTTCCTTTCCCTACCAAGAAGAAGCAATTTTCTGTCAGGGTGGCGAACTCTTCGACCACCTGTCAGAGGTCTTTGCCCTTGGGGAGAAGGGTGCACGGATCTGCATGAGGCAGGTCTTTGCGTCTGTGGCCTACTGCCATTCCAAGGGCATTGTCCACCGCGACTTGAAACCAGAGAATTATCTCCTCTTGGACAAGAACAGACCTCTTGAGCAGACTCTGCTTAAGCTGATCGATTTTGGGTTGGCCAAGAACATGCCGGAGAATGGCCTTTTAAAAAGCGCAGTGGGCACGCCCTACTACGTTGCACCTGAGGTGTTGGCACAGGCCTATACAGAAGCAGCGGATACGTGGAGTGCTGGCGTCATGCTGTACATCATGATCTGTGGCGCCCCACCCTTCAACGCGGCGAAGGACAGTGACATCCTCAAGTTAATCAAGAAAGGCCAGTACAGCATGGAGGGTGGGGTGTGGCCGACGGTGAGCGATGCCTCCAAGAGCCTGATCAAGGCATGCCTGGAGATGGATCACCAAAAGCGCATCACAGCCCAAGATGCTTTGAGTCACGAGCGGCCCGGTGAGCAATACAAATCCAGTCTTTATCCTCTGGCTTGAGAACCTGTAATATTCGGCAGCATTGCCCCACATTTCAAGTCCGAAGTGCTTAAGCGCAGCGAACTTCAAGGAACCCTGCACCCATCTGCACCCGAACCTTAAACCCTGTCATAGCGCGTCCCATCATCGTGAGAGGTGTCTGCAGGGCCTTACTGGGATTCAGGCACCCGATTGGGGCTTCCGTAAAAAAAGGCCTCCTTGTAGTCCTGATATACTCCCAATAGGTACCGCCGAACAAGACCCTTAATTTCTGGACCCTTAATTTCTGGAAATCCACGGCCTTTGAGGTGGTTTCACGTTGACGACGCCAACAGTTGCGCTCCCCTGGATTCCTCGGTTCTTCAAAATTTGAGGCACTGAAACGGGTCTGGGGTTGAGTGTTTGGGTTTGATGTCTAAAGATTCAACCCAGACCCGTTTCGGTTTTGTTGCGGTTCCAGCGTTTGTAAGATTCTTGTAGGGCTTGAGTGTTCTGAGATTTTTGTAAAGCTGTACGCAAGGCTTTGAGTGTTTTGGCATCGTTGAGTGCCCGGGGTTCGGTACTTGGTTTGCTGTTGGGGGTCGTGGCGCTTCAGATTGGCCAGGAATTGGAGATGATTTTAGGGCTCAAAGTTTTTGAATTTAGGATATAAGGTTCATGCGCTTGCTGCTGAACAGCTCGCCTTTCCTGCTGTGATTTTTGATTTGACAGGCATTTCTGTGTTCCAGGTTCATGACATGATTTTGGACAATGCGTGTGTCTGAAGCCAAGTGAACAATTTTCCTGAAATTTGCGAAGTTCACCTGATGGCGGTACCATGACTGTCTGTTGCACCTTAACAAAAGCCCCAGGCTCCCGCTCTAGGTACATCCACAAGGTACCGGTCCAAGGTACGTGTCTTTGAGGCGTCGCGGTCGCTGTAAAAGACGGTCCCAACAGTCTCCGTAAACCCTCAGACCGAAGCCCTGAATTTCTAGATAGGTTTCAAAGGGTGTTTTAGTCGGCCTCAGGCAGCGCTTCAGGCAGTTCAGCATGGCGAATCGCTTCCGCAAGGCGCCGAAACCGTAGCGGCAGCAAAACACAAGTAACTGCTGCAAGCCCAGTTAATAAACAACCTTTCAACATCATTTTGGCTTTATGCCGGGGTACTATTTTGGTTTTGGTTTGCTGCGGCTATGGCTGTCGCTACTACAGCTACTAGTGCTGCTACTCTCGTAGAATCTGGTGTCCTGTGGCTTGTGGATAGGAAGCTGGCAGGCCGCGCTGACGGCGGTTGCTTGTCAGCTGAACGAGGATGAGCAGAAGGAACTCCGGGAGATCTTCATGAGGCCTGGGAACAGTGGTGGTGGTGTTGGTGGTCGTGGTCGTGGTCGTGGTCATGGTCGCGGTGGTGGTAGTGGTGGTGGTGGTGGTGGTGGTGGTGGTGGTGGTGGTGGTGGTGGTGGTGGAGGTGGAGTCTGTTTGTGGTGGTAGGGGTGGCAGTGGCAGTTGCAGTGGTGGAAAGCATAGTGGTGGTAGAGTGGCCGTAGAAGAAGGAGCGGGTGCGGGAGTAGGATAAGAGTTGGAGTAGGAGTAGGATTAGAAGAAGGTGTAGCAGAAGCAAGAGCAGGAGGAGTCGTAGGAGCAGCATGAGGGCAGGAGGAGGATGGCAGATGCCAGATGCCGGAGAGGTAAAGAAGGCTTCTTTTCGTTCCTGGGCTTTTGGAGAACTTGTCGGGTCTAAGCCTTCCAACAGGCTCGACACGAACGGCGACGGCTATCTCAGCTTGGAGGCGTGCCGAACGTCATTTTCCCTTGCCGCCATTTACCCTGATACAGTGGAATTCTTTCTCGCCGGCTTTTTCAACACTGCCCTCATATAACTGCAGCAGCATGGCAGTGACCTGACTCGCTTGTCAAAGTCCTCGAACACCAAGTATGACGAAGGTCGTCGATCTGCATCACGCAAGATTGCCACCATCAACCATGCAAATCTATTAAGCCGTCAAGCAGCCAAAACACCCTCGGTTTTGACTCGTAGACTCAGCCGTCAAGCAGCCAAAACACGGATATCCCAAACAGTCCTCGGTTTTGACTCGTAGACGGGCGGAGTGTCGGGACGTTGACCAGGAGATGAAGCATGCGCTTCAACACCAATTGGATACAGCAGACCTTGAGCAGGTCCTGAAAAATGTGTGGGGCTCAGAGGCTGATTTGAACATTGTTTTGACATTGTTTCAAGGTTTCCAAGGTTCTTGGTTTTTGGCGGAAGCGGCCCATATTTTTTCCGAACTTGCGGGTAGCGGGACAGGTAGCCGCAGAGCACAGAAGAGAACTGGCAGGTAAATGTTTGGAACACTTCCCGCCGGAAAAGGTTAGGCGCTTGAGAACAAGCAAGCTAAAACAATTCCGGTTTGACACAGTACGTCTCGATGCAGCAGACCCCCTTGACAGACAGGGGCGTGGCAGGATGGTAGATGTAATAGTGGTATAATAAGAGTATAAGAGGACCCTAATATAAGAATCCCTATTATCCCTTATATTATTGGGTGGGGGGTCCACCTAAGGTAGGTTCTTGAGCAGTGTTGGCCCAGGTGGACTCTAACGGTGATGGCCGAATAGAGTACACCGAGCCTTCCCAGCGATGTCAGCAGCTTTTTTTGCGCGTTTGGTATGGGGATTTCCGAAAGGACTCGGAGTTGCATACTGCTTGGGGTTGCATGCGGGCTTTTTCAGAGCCAGGCCCGATGTCTGCAGGGAAGTGGAGTCACGTTTATGGACTTTCAAGGAGGGATTTCATAAGGCAGCCAGGTAGACGTTTGCAATTTCGGGTCTCGGGGCATCTTTCAGGTGGATTCCAGGATTTCTGCACGGACGTAGTGTGCTGATCAGGCTGTTTCTTGAAAACACGGCAATGGATCAATCCTGCAGCAGGGGTTCAGGGTGTAGTGCATTATTTTGCATTTTCATGCATGCGTGCCAAATACCAAGCAAAGGCAGCGTTCCTCGATAGTATGCCAGCCTCTAGCTAAGTACCATTGCCATTACCACGCCCTGGCACCCAAAACAATGCCACTCCCTGGGGCTACAACGTTTTGAGTCATGACGGCACCCTTGCGCATCTAAAAAAGGAAGTTCTAATGTTCTTCTATCATGTACGAGTTTACTCAACATCCCCTCCCCTAAACAATAACCTATGGTCTTGCATCATGTGTTAAAAAAGTCGGCCTCTAGTCATGTGGTAATTCTCAGTTTTTGAAGCATGATTTAAAACGACGGCAGCGTGCTCGTGCATGTGAAATGTGACTTTCAGATGACGCCCAAACAGGCAAACTCACAGGCATTTACAAGGGATCCTGCTTGCGTCAAGACGCTGTGGTTCCTATCGGAACATAGTGGCGACACACTCGCGCACCTGAAAGTAGAATTGCCAATGGTTTTCTGTGATGTACATAGTTCGCTTCCGAACGCTACCCCTAAACGAGAACAAACGGTTTTGCGCCATTCGCTAAACGCCCGCTTCTGAGTCATGTGTTATAGCCACAGCGGCGGTTGCTCGCGCATCTGAAATTTGACTCTCAGATGCGTTGTTGGGTGTCAGCAAAAAGGCAAAATCACGGGTATTTTAGGGGGTAGGCCTTGGGAGGAGCAACAAAAATTGGCCCCAAACCCTAACACACCCAAAGCCTCCTAAACCCTGAACTCCTAAACATCCTACTGCAGGAGTTCCTTGCTGCCGCCATGGATCAACATCTTCATCGCAATGAGACCAATTGCTGGAGGGCTTTCAAGACCTTCGACAAGGCAGTGCGCAAGATGTTTGGGAGTAGAGGGGTTGCAGGATTTGGGCAATTAGGGCTTTGTTCTTTGAGTTTGGACTAATTGCTTGAAGGGCAGGATTTGGGGTGTGCTCATGGATCTCTACTTCTAGTGTGCTGCGCCAGGAAATTCCATTCTTCTTCGTGATGCATCATGTGTGGCTACCTTGTCACATCAGTCTCTTGTTGGGAGCAAGCCAGCCAACAAGACCGACAAATATAGGTTTGCTTTTCAGGAATGTCAGAACTGCCTGAAGCCGTACATCGCAATCCTAAAGCCGTTAATCATAGATTGCCATCCCTGTTCGGAAGATGCCCACACCGCACTTTATGAAGGTACCGTCCTGGGGTGGGGCCGGGAAACGTGAGTGGGAAGGCTCCGTCTACCATCACTCTAATTTTTTTGGGTGGATGGTCGGGAAAACCAAAGTGGTTCTCCGATTCGGCTGTTTGTCATTGGAACCACCCTACACTCCTCAGACTCCATCCTTTAACTCTGCTGGGGCGTGAGTAGCTCCACTGCGGGTCTGTGGATTTCACATGCGGTGCTGATGATCTCCCAAGCTCCAGGCATGTCCCAGGCAAGTGTTTGCAGGCGAGCGGCCCATTGCCGGGCAGGGGTGGCCCCGAACTGCTTCCTGAGATCACTCAGCTTGGGAACTGGGGCTTCTGTTGGCGGACGCGTGTTTAGGGTCTTTGACAGCGCCTTGCGGGGTCTGGATGTTTGGCTGCTGCTCAGCAATCGGTGTTGTGGTCTTTTGCTCAGGCATAAAAAACCCGATATTGTACAGTATTGTGCTTACTGTTAGAAAGGGAATTGTATGGGCATCCATGTTAGTTTGGGGTAGTATGCCAGCACTGACAGTAACAATTCAAAGCCCCGTTTAATCACTTTTAGGCTTCCATGAGTTTGGCGGAGGGTACGAAAACTCCTCCATGCGATCTCTCAGCCAAGAGGATGGAGATGGCAAGATCACCTACGCGGAGCTGCAGCAGGCGGGTAATGACAATGAGGGTCCATGCAGGTGAACGTGATTAGCGTTTTGTCTTCAGAGTTTTGAGTTGAGGATTTAGCCGGGATAGTAGGGATTCTGCAGGAGTGTGGTGGTGTTGGTAGATATAGGACACCTAGCAAGTGTTGGGTATGATTTCCGCAGCAGTCCTGCACAACTGAGAGTGCGTAACAATTCGTCTTATCATCTTCGATGTTGTGGATTGCATATATACACCACAAGTAGGATTTCCTGTGGGTCCCATCTAAACGGTCCGTGCAGTAGATCTACCTCCTGAGTCCAACTTGAGCATGAGGAGTTGACCTACTTCTGTTCCATCTCAGGCCTTTGCCAGGAACCTAAGACACGCGACAAGACAACGTTTTGAAGGAAACTTGTCTGGGGACCACCAAAGGATTCTTCATACGTGACATGGGGAGACACCCCATAGCCCCAAATCCCCAAGTACAAGACCTAAATGCATCTAGTGCCTGCAGACCCAAAGAGGGCATGGGCAATCCTCAGGTGCTCGTAGACAACGAGCTCTCGTCTAAGGCTGTGGCTTTCCAAGACGCGCCAGGTTGAAGGAATTCAGGGAGTCGGGTAGAGCGTTTCGTATTTCAGGCCTGGGTTCAGGGCAGACTTCCTCGAAGAACTGTCAGGTTTTGCTGGAGCAGGTTGCACACAAGGCACTCGAAGTTCTGGAGTGGATTCGAATAATACTAATGCATGCCTTTGGCGTCTGTTTGGGGTGACCATGATTTTCCATCCTTATGTGCTGCAATCATGATTCTGATTTTCGGGTTCGGTCAAGAAAAGACATGAAACGGCTGACCTTGCGAAACCCATGGCATCGCTCATCGGGTTTCGAGAGGGTACCTATGCTCATGCTGAAGTCATAGCACTGCCCACTGCCCACCCTAAAGAGCCGCGAGGGAGCCATACAGTCATGAAGACAGGGTTCCGTGATCACGCAAACAAGTGATGCTGTGGTAGCAGAAGGGCCTTAAGTGTTGTGGCGTCTTGTTGTCTGGCTAAGCTGGGGCTGGTGATGGCACTCCAAGCAGCTGCTTTTGCCAGTTGTCGTTGCATAAGTACTTTCATCATTGTTGCCTCTCCTTTTTGGGTTCGGAGTTACGGTGTGAGCCCTGTTCCAGGTCCTAGATTGTGAGGATGCGCGTTTCTACTTCGACAGGATGGACGTTTGGCTGGCAATTGGAGATGTCTTCAACTTTCGTAGGATTTATAGAAGTTCTCGAGGCGTTTATGCGAATTATTGGGATCGAGCCTGAATGTTTTATGAAGTTTTATGATTAGTTCAGGGTTTTTCGGGATGCGCCATCTGTGTTTTACTGTGTTGGTTCCGATAATGAAGAGAGGTGTTGATTCCTCAGAGAAAACTTATGAAAAACAGGCCGCCCAGCTTGAGTTATCCATGCAGGAGGCGTCGATCTTGAGACATGGGGGTTGTTCTGAAGGTCCTTGTAAAGAATGGGCACCATTGAGAATACGCTTCCTTGAAAGGCGATCCGAACCAAACAGGGAATCTACATCATGGCCATTTTGGGGACATGTATTTTGAAGACCTACCACATAACCCTCTTGTAGAGAAACATGCAGTTCAGGTTTTACCGGAGATGGAAGCAGCAGCAACTGCGGCAGGAATGCTCTCCTTATCAAAAGTAGTCGTGTTTGCAACAGGCCGCTTTGCACCCCATCTGCGATTGACATGTTACTAGCTTGCACATCGTAGTCAGAATGTTAATGGATGAAATCAGGCGCAACCCAAAGGCCCTCGGTTCCCAACAGACGACAGCATGAGAAAAGCCAAGGACACCAATGGTGACGGTGAGGTCAGCTTTGACGAATTTATGGCCATGTTACATCCCGTGGTGCTTAAGAAGAAGCAGAGGGCTTCTTCAATTTCGGCTGTGAGAGCGCGAACTCCAGTGTATGCTTCAAGGCTCCCGCTGCATCTTCTGACCCCTAGATAGGTCCGGTAGCATTTTACCCTTGTCAAGCCTCAAAGGGCAAGACTGTGGGGGGAAGGCATCTCAACGGCATGCCTCTCCGTTGATTCCATTTCCACCTGAAAGCTGCAGCCTGAATCATGAGCCAACATGTTCGAACATCTATGCCTGTCAGAATGCTTTTCATACTGGGCATGCTACGCAGCGGACATCCGTGACAGTATGTTTCACGGGGGAAGTTCCCTTCAATTCGTCCTAGGAGTCCTAGTGATTTAGATCTCCTGCCCTCCTGCAAGACCACTAGGAAGCAAGCCGCCTCACAAGCCATGAACTTTGCCGTATACGTCGCATACGAATTGATTATCCGCTCAGGACAGTGCGGGATATTACTCGTGCAGCAGGAGCAGGCGATGGAGACTTGAGTAGCAGTCACGCGTGGGCCTTCGCACCCAATCGCAGCCATGGCAGTACCATGTACCAACGGGCAGTATGATAACTCGGGTTTCTTCGTCTCTGTCTCTCCGCCTATCCCGATTCTGGTCGTCAAACATATGCCCCGAACACTGAAGCAGGCACTACATCATCAGAACATCCTCCCTCCTAGACTTTCAGGGCAAAAAGCAACGTGCATGTCATGCGCTGACCTCAGGGTCTCTCACAGTAGTTTGAGGGGTTTCAGTGGCATGACGAGAGTGTCATGGCTGCGTGTGTAGGGACATTGGTTCCGGGCATTAGGAATTTGGCTTAATTGCATGTTACATGCTGCAACTAGGCAGTCCACCTCTTTTGCCCTCCGTCTTGGGCGTATAACTGCGCTAAAATTCCACAGATTTGAACATGGTCTGCGCAAAGGCTAGGCAGGACCTGCATCACAAAAACAAGTGATAGCTCGCGGTTCTTCAGTCAGCTGGTCTCGCTTTTACGGGTTGACGAAAAATGGCTTTCCAAAGAGTTGCATAGCTGAAGCAGCTGCTAAAGCGACTTTGACATCGGTTCCCATCCATAAAGGTTTCGCCGAAGAAGGTCAACATTTTGTTTCCAGAGCATCTGGCTAGCAGGCATGGGCTTGCCAGGTGGACCGGGGTTTGCCATAAACTCGAAGAATGTGAGCATCATCATTATTCTCCTTTGTTTTGTAGGAGTAGTTGCTGATACTAAGAAGACGAAGTCGTGCTTCGCTAGCAAGTACTTGCATGGCTGTGTCCGGGAGCATTGTGGCTGCTGTCCAGAACTCGCGTGGCTTGTACAGCGGTGACAATCCGATTCCAAAAGAGCAGCCATTGTGGCATTGCCTGATGCCAAAACAATATCTAAACATTGCCTATAAGGTCTTTTTCTGCGCGTCATAACTTGTGGGCCAAGTTGTCGACGACTGCCTGGGTGCTGTTTTCATATAGAACAATTTGAAGACAGTATGCTATGCCTTTATAGCTCCATGTTACACAACAAAGCTGTCATTTTATTGCAAAATGCGCATAACGCACATGGGTAGCGCATTTGCAACGAGTAAGCTCTTCAAGGTCCCATAAAAACCTGATGTGAAGCTACTCTCTCATCCTGCGTCCAAAGAGGGAATGAAGTGCCCACCTCCATGACTCCCGACATTATTGCATGCAGGACTCTGAGAGAGATATTTCTGTGAGTCCCAATATTTTAGCTTTCCGGCTTCTGACGCGCAGTCTCGTGCTGGGAGCATTGCTTGCGCATTTTCATGTTCAACATGCTAACGCTAAGCTCCGGCTACTGTTTGTGTCTAATTCCTGCCGGTGTTTTGCGTGTATGTTCGCACCTGCTGTCGGTTTTGACATTCACGTGTTTCAAGTCTCATGTGTTTTCATGTTCGGCAGCACAGCCACAAGTAAACGTGAGCTTGCAGAATTCTCATGGAGTTTCACGTTCCAAGCATTGAGTATCCATGGGCGTTGCGAAGCTCTCGTGCACGCTCATGACAAACGCCATGACCGTCCGCAAGTGTTGCACATCTCTCATGATTTTGCATTCTCCGTTGAGCTTCCGGAGCCTTTCTTTGGGCGGTAAGCTTTGGAGATTGAATTATGATCGGCTTCTTCCGTGCCATTATGCTTGCAGTAGCTTCCAGAACCGATTTGACGTTTGGTTTGTATCCGGGTCGCTGGCGGAGCAATCTCCGCTGCAGATGGCACACCTCATTGCGGTTGGGGTTTGAATTCAGAAAATCGGTATCGATAGTTCCTTACGGCCGTTTTTTACCTTGGGATCCTTCTCATGCAGAACCCCATACCCGTTCAGAAGCCCTCCCCAGCTCCAGGCCCTCAGACATTCAGAGCTCCTTGAGCTACCCTCCCCCGGAGACAGGAAGCCCTATATAGCGCCCTTTAAAGGGGCTGTAGTCTTGGTAGGGCCCTTTTGAGGTTTCCAGGTTTCCATGTTAGTTTGGGGACAGGTAGGGGCCACTTGCTCCCAGCTCGCCATGGCTGTCTTGATGGAGGTCGAATGTGCACTCACGCAGCCTGGCAAAGGTTTCGGGGTCTTGGGCCTGCACCCATTTTTTCCAGTTGGGTTGTTATAGATTACATTACAGTTCCCAAGGGTTACCAAAATGGGACCCTAAATTTGGGAACTACCCGGTTCATTTTCCACTTTCGTTTCCATTTCAGTGTCCATAAGTGGTTACATCCGTAAGCCTAAATCGCAACAGCATCCCAGTTTTCATGTTTTTGTCAATCTTCTTTTCCATTTGATTCTCCGTTACTGGACCTATAGGGTATCCACAACCTTATGTATGGTTTTGTCCTTATGTGTGTGGGATACTGTACCTTGAATCCTACACGCTAGTCCACGGAAACAGTCAGCACTTCCAGTCAGCTGCCTCGGCCCTTGCTCAACCGTGGGCCTTGGGAGCAGACAAAACCCACAAATAAACAAGATAGCAATATCTGGAACTTCCAGAGAATGTGCAGAGTCTGCATTAACGATGGCTACACCATCATCAGCATTCCATTGTTGTTGAGGCACGAGGGTGATGATGTCTGCTTGGCGGGCGCTTCGCCTGCCTTAGGAAGCTGGGATACTGGGCGCGCTTTGCGGCTTACGACAGGCTGCTACGATCAGGGTTAAGGGTTCGGGGCTTTGGGTTCAGGGAAGTAGGCTCAAGGTTTAGGATGGTTTAGGGCTTGTGTAATATTTATTTTAGCGGAGTGGGTTCAGCTGACGTCAAAAGGCCTCAGGAACCTAGATATGGAGCACCTTATTTGGGGTTCCCAAGAACAATGACTATAGTATATTCGGGTCTATACAAGGGTCCCCCTATTTTGGGAAACTACCATGTCTAGGACGCTTGCGCAACGTATGCGAAGGATTTCAACAGACAGATTGGCCGGCTAACAGTCAGAGTACCGGCGGCCAATTTGATCATGGGAAGGTTGCAAGCTGCGAAATCTTTGTTTGACCGAGTTTCCTGTGCGAGAGATCTCAGGGATGTCATCCGTCTACTACTTAAGGCAGCAGAGGATTGGAATGGATTCCTTAATGGTTCTGTTGGTTCCGACACAGCTGCCTCAGGGTATTTCTCATTCAAGTCCTGTACTGTGTTGCTTGTTTTTCAGCCGGTTCATCCAGGCATGTCAAACGCTGTGGTCATCCATGCAACGCTCCTGGCATTACTTTGGAGGTTATACATACATGCATCCTACATGTTTTTCACTTGGACTCCAACACCCCACGGGATTGCTTGAGGAGCTCAATCCTAAACCCCAAAGGCCCGAGCCTTGCATGACATGCATATGCTAAAGTACAAAGTTCCTCAGGTATGTAATACCTATGGTCATGAAGTTTTGCAATGTCCACCGTGTGACCTTGAACCCTCGTAGGCCCGAGGCCCCAAATCCAAAACCCTTAAAACCCCACACCCAAAACCCTAAACTGACACTCATTACACTCATTGTCGCCACTGTTCTAGTTGATTATTCTCACTGTGGATGCTACCACCTTTTTAGTAGCATAGCTACTCTTATTCTTCCCGCAACTCTTATCCTAATTCTTGTTTGAAGTGGTAGTTTCCATTTTCTTTTGAATTATCCCTATGTACTAACGCTATATAACCCTGTCTAACCCTATATAAGCCTATCACACCTATATGACCCTTTCAAACCCTATATAACCCTACATAATATA